CCCTGAACACTATGGACAATTTAGCATGGCCAATCCACCTAACTTGTACATCTTTGGACTGAGGGAGGAAATCCAAGTACCCAGAGAGTGACGCACATATGAATAAACTGCCAGAGGAAGTGGAGGCTGGTAAAATTACAACATTTAAAGACAGCATCTGCATAGGTATATGAATAGGAAAGGTTTAGAGGCAAATGGGTCAAATGCTGGGAAGACAGACTAGATTTATTTAGAATAGCAGTCAGCATGGATGAGTTGGACTGAAGGGTCTGTTTCCATGCTGTACATCTATGACTATGAATTTCAGGACACCAAGAAGTTCAGGGGGAAAAAGGGATCTTGGGATGCTTGTCCAGATTCCTGAAGGCAGGACAGGTTAATAAAGCATACAGAGAACTTGGATTTAGTCAAATTTTAACAACTGGGAGATCTGTTGAAGCTTTACAAGTCTGATTTGTAGACAGCTGCAGTACAGTGAGCAGAACTGCTCACTCAATATAGAATACTTGTGATTGCACTGGTGCACAGGAAATTCACCAGGATGTTGCCTCAGATGGAGCAGTTTAACTATGGAATTGAGGGCGATTTAGCGGAATCAGAAATTGGCTAACTGTAAGAAGACAGAGGGTGGTGGTTGATGGGAAGTGTTCATCCTGGAGTTCAGTTACTAGTGGTGTACCTCGAGGATCTGTTTTGGGGCCACTGCTGTTTGTCATTTTTAAGTGACCTGGATGAGGGCGTAGAAGGATGGGTTAGTAAATTTGTGGATGACACCAAAGTCGTTAGAGTTGTGGATAGTGCGGAAGGATGTTGCAGGTTACAGAGGGACATAGATAAGCTGCTGAGCTAGGCTGAGAGGTGGCAAATGGAGTTTAGTGTGGAAAAGTGTGAGGTGATTCACTTTGGAAGGAGTAACAGGAATACAGAGTACTGGGCCAATGGTAAGATTCTTGGTAGTGTGGGTGAGCAGAGAGATCTCGGTGTCCATGTGCATAGATCACTGAAAGTTGCCACCCAGGTTGATAGGGTTGTTAAGAAGGCATACGGTGTGTTAGGTTTTATTGGTAGAGGGATTGAGTTTCAGAGCCATGAGGTCATGTTGCAGCTGTACAAAACTCTGGTGCGGCCACACTTGGAGTATTGCGTACAGTTCTGGTCACCGCATTACAGGAAGGATGTGGAAACATTGGAAAGGGTGCAGAGGAGATTTACCAGGATGTTGCCTGGTATGGAGGGAAGGTCTTATGAGGAAAGGCTGAGGGACTTGAGGCTGTTTTCGTTAGAGAAAAGAAGATTAAGAGGTGACTTGATAGAGACATACAAGCTGATCAGAGGATTAGATAGGGTGGACAGTGGGAGCCTTTTTCCTCAGATGGTGATGGCTAGCACGAGGGGACATCGCTTTAAATTGAAGGGTGATAGATATAGGACAGATGTCAGAGGTAGGTTCTTTACTCAGAGTAGTAAGGGCGTGGAATGCCCTGCCTGCAAAAGTAGTAGACTCGCCAACTTTAAGGGCATTTAAATGGTCATTGGATAAACACAAGGATGATAATGGAATAGTGTAGGTTAGATAGGCTTCAGATTGTTGCACTGACCTGTGAAACCATCAAGGGCCAAATGGCCTGTACTGCGCTGTAATGTTCTAAGAAGATAGAGGGCATGGGCAGGATGGGTACAAAACAGATGTTCTCCTTAGTTGAGAAGTCAATACAAGGGGACATTTAAGTATGAAAAGCAGGAGGTTTGAGAGACTTTGAAATAAATTTTCCATTAGAGGGTAGTGAAAGTCTAGAATGCACTCCCTGGGAAGGGTAGTCTCTCTGCCTTTTAAAGAAAGTACTTGGATAAGCACTTAATGCCGTAACATTCAAGACTATGGATGAAGTGTTAGTAAATGATAGAGCAGTTTTTCTTACTGCAGACAGTGGGCCAGAGGGTCTCCTCTGTATTGTATGACAGTTTGAGATACAAAGCCTTCAGTGCATAAAGATAATTTTCAAATCAATCTTGTTAACACTCACCTCGCAGTGCACCCCATACGTTTTCAGATTTCAGAATAGCTACTGGTTGAGTAACAACAATCTCATCTAAAAAAAAAGGACAAGACAAAAATCTTCACGTTCTGCAAAAGTTAAGTTACCGAGTAACAATTGTGACAAATTAACATACTCTTGAGCAATTCCAAAAACCGTTTGCAATTCAGTTCTCTGAGAAGCCACAAGAAAGATTGGTCATAGGCAGCATGATTTACAAAAGGTGCACTTTACTAGATGTTAGAAGATTAACAAGCAGGGGTATGGGGGAAAACCAGCAGACATGTTTACTTGAAGTTTCAGAAAGCCTTCCACAATCCCATATTAGAGAAATGCATGAAAATTAAACCACTGTACTGACATGGACAGAACTAGCTGGAGGTCAAAGTAGTATTAAATGGGTCATTTCTGAGTGGCAGTCAGTGACCAGTAGGACACCAGAGTCAGCATCTGGACCAACTATTCACGATATACATTTATATGAGATAACTAACGTAATACCTCAATTTGCAGAGGATGCAAAGCTGGGTGGGAGGGAGGGCAAACTGTGGACAGGATGCAGAGATGCTTCAATGTGATTTGGACGAGTGGGCAAATGGAAGGCAGATGAAAAATTAGGTGGATAAACATCAGGTTATATACTGATAGCAAGAAACAGCTAAGGGCAATTATCTAAATGCTAATTTATTGGCAGATAATTGCCCAAGGGGAGCGATACATCAAGATTTGGGTGTCTTCGTACACCAGTTGCTGAAAGCATGCATGCAGGTACAGCAGGCAGCCAATGGTATGTGCCTTCATTACAAGTGAGGGTACATGAGCAGAGATATCTTGTGGCAATTGTACAGGAACTTGGTGAGATCATACCTGAAGCAATGTGTGAAGTTTTACTTTATCCGAAGGATGTTCTAACTGTGGAGTGTGTGCAGTGAAGGTTTACTCAATTCCTGGATGGCAGGACTAACATGAGGGATTGGATTGGTTTGGTTAGGACTGTATTCAGAGTTTGAAAATTATTGGTGTCCCAATAATAGAGCCTAGAATCACAGGTCACAGTCCAAGAATACACAGTAGGCCATTGAAGACAAGAAGTGTCTTCACCCAGAGTGGCGAGCCTGTGGAATTCTGTCACAGAAAGCAGTTGAGGTCAAAACATAGCCCTAACAACTATTTAAACAGTCAAAGGCATCAAGGGTATGGGAAGAAAGCAGGAACAGCAGAGTTAAGTGATCAGCTGCAAGTTATATTGAATAGCAGACAGTCTCAAAACAGCCAAGTGGCCGACACCTGCTCCTATTTTCTGTTGTTTGATGCTTTTTTTAAAAGCACCATTATCAGCACACTCAACTTATCACATTGCACTTTGGTCTCATTCAAAGCATTCAGCCTACTACAGGAAAGTGGCACATTACTGGTTGAGTGCTTGCCATGCACAGATTCACTGGTTCCCTGCCTCCCCCAACAATAAAACACTTACATTATAGTTAGCTGTAATGCTGCATCATATCCTGTCTTCAAGGCATGTGGGGGCAAGCAGTGGTAATGTACATAAGAACTAGCAGGAGTAGGCCGTCTGGCCCTTCGAGCCTGCTCCGCCATTCAATAAGATCATGGCTGATCCTTTCGTGGACTCAGATCCACTTACCCGCGTTCTCACCATATCCCTCAATTCCTTATGTTGAAAAAAAAATCTACTTTTTTTTAAAAATAGCGTTTACTGAAGTAGTGTCAACTACTTCACTGGGCAAGGAATTCCATAGATTAACAACCCTCTGGGTGAAGAAATTCCTTCACAGTTCAGTCCTAAATCTGCTCCCCCTAATCTTGAGGCTATGCCCTCTTGTCCTAGCTTCACCTGCTAGTGAAAAACATCCTCTCTACATCCATCTTATCTATTCCCTTCATAGTTTTATATGTTTCTATAAGATCCCCCCTAAATCTTCTGAATTCCAATGAATATAATCCCAATCTACTCGGTCTCTCCTCATAAGCTAACCACATCCCCAACTCCAGAATCAACCTAGTGAACCTCCTTTGCACCCCCTCCAGTGCCAATACATCCTTTCTCAAGTAAGGAGACCAAAACTGCACACAGTACTCTAGGTGTGGCCTCATCAGCACCTTGTACAGCTGCAACATAATCTCTCTGCTTTTTATTTCAATCCCTTTAGCAATGAAGGGCAAAATTCCATTTGCCTTCCTAATTACTTGTTGTACCTGCAGACCTACCTTCTGTGATTCATGCACAAGGACACCCACGTCCCTCTGCATAGCAGCATGCTGCAGCTTTTTACCATTCTAGTAATAATTCTTTTTACTATTACTCCTACCAAAATGTATGACTTGACATTTATTTACATTGTATTCCGTCTGGCAGACCTTTGCCCACTCACTCAATGTATCTATGTTCCTCTGCAAAGTTTCACAGTCCTCTGCACACTTCGCTTTGCCACTCATCTTAGTGTCATCTGCAAACTTTGACACCCTACACGTGGTCCCCAGCTCCAAATCATCTATTAAATTGTAAATAATTGCGGTCCCAACACCGATCCCTGAGGCACACCACTAGTCACTGACTGCCAGCTAGAATAGCACTCATTTATCCCCACTCTTTGCTTCCTGTTAGGCAACCAATCCTCTATCCATACTAATACTTTACCCTTAATGCCATGCATCCTTATCTTATGCAGTAGCCTCTTGTGCAGCACCTTGTCAAAGGCCTTTTGGAAGTCTAGGTACACCACATCCACTGGGTCCCCATTGTCCACTTCGCTAATAATGTCTTCATAGAATTCCAGAAGATTTGTCAAGCATGACCTGCCCTTCATGAACCCATGCTGCGTCTGCCCAATTTCTATCAAGATGCCTTGCTATTTCTTCCTTGATAATAGACTCAAGCATCTGCCCCACTACAGAGGTTAAGCTAACCGGTCTATAATGCCCCATTTTTTGTCTACTTCCTTTTTAAACAGTGGCGTCACATTTGCTGTTTTCCAATCTGCTGGGACTGCCCCAGAGTCCAGTGAATTTTGGAAAATTACCACCAGTGCACCTGCTATTTCTCCTGCCATCTTTTAGTACCCTGGGATGCATTCCATCAGGGCCAGGAGACTTATCAATCCTTAGCTCCATTAGCTTGCCCAACACTACCTCTTCTGTAATTATGATTGTTTCCAGGTCCTCACCTACCTTCGTCTCTTTGTCTATTACTGGCATGTTATTAGGGTCCTCTACTGTAAAGACCGATACAAAATACCTGTTCAATGCCTCGGCCATTTCATCATATCCCATAACTAAAAATTCCCCTTCTCATGCTCTAAAGGGCCAACGTTTACTTTAGCCACTCTTTCGTTTTATATATTTATAGAAACTCTTGCTATCTGTCTTTATATTCTGCGCTAGTTTTTTCTCATGTTCTATCTTACTTTTCCTTATAGCTCTTTTTGTGGCTTTCTGTTGACCTTTAAAGTTTTCCCAATCTTCTAGTTTCATGCTGTTTTTGGCCACTTTGTATGCCTTCTCTTTCAATTTGATAGCCTCCCTTATTTCTTTAGGCACCCATGGCAGATTACCCCTTTTCTTACCGTCCTTCCTTTTCATTGAAATATACTTTTGCTGAGCACTTTGAAAGATTGCTTTGAAAGCCCTCCACTGCTCGTCAACTGTCCCACCATAAAGTCTTTGTTTCCAGTTTACTTTAGCCAAGTCCTCCCTCATTCTATTGTAGTTCCCCTTGTTCAAGCACAGGGCCCTTGTATTGGATTTTATCCTCACACTCTCCATCTGTATTCTAATTCAACCATACTGTGATCACTCCTTCCAAGAGGATCCCTAACTATGAGGTCATTAGTTATTCCTGTCTCATTACACAGGACCAGGTCTAGGATAGCTTGCTCCCGCGTTTGTTCCATTACATACTGTTCAAGAAAACTATCACAGATACACTCAACGAACTCCTCCTCCTCAAGGCTACCCTGACCAAGCTGGTTCGACCAATCTACATGTAGGTTGGCATACCATTTTTACAGGCATTAGTTATTTCTTTGTTTATTGCCCACCCCAATGTGATGTTGTTATTATTTGGTGGCCTATAGACTATGCCTATCAGTGACTTTTTCCTCTTGGAATTTCTAATTTCCACCCAAATGGATTCAACCTCATTCTCCATAGAACCTATATCATCTCTCAGCACTGCCCTGATGGCGTCCCTGAATATCAGGGCTACACCACCTCCCTTACCTTCCTGTCTGTCTGTCCTTCCGACTAGTCTGGTACCCTTGGATATTTAACTCCCAGTCATGACCATCCTGTAACCACTTCTCCGTAATGGCTACCAAATCATATTCATTCGTGATGATTTGTGCCGTTAACTCATCAACCTTGTTACGAATGCTACGAGCATTCGGGTAAAGTGCCTTTATGCTAGCTTTCTTACCCTCATGATTTCCATGATCTCTAATAATATCTCCAGAGTTATCCTTCCTTTTTGCTTCTTTCATAGTCTGCCTTGAACTTAAACCCTCCTGCACACATGCTAACCTGCTGCTTACCTTTTTATTTACCATCATAGTCCCTGTCATTTTCCCTTTCCCTTCCCCCCAACTCACTAGTTTAGTAATCCAGTTTTTTTTGGAGATTGGAAATGAGAGGTTAACTCAGCTGATAGGTTTGCTGTGAAGTGATGTCAATGTGGGTTTAATTCCCACTCTGGTTGAGGTTACCATAAAGACCATCTCAACTTCTCTCCCAAGGCATGGGAACCCTTGCGTGAAAGCAGTTACTGAAACAGCAGCCCTATGGCTTGTAGCAACTTTGCTTTTTAATTCAGGTTAGTAGAATCACAGTCATACAGCATGGAAACAGACCCTTCAATTTAACTTGTCCATGCCAACCAGATTTCTCAAACAAAACTAATTCCATTTGCCCATGTTTAGTCCTATCCACATACTGTACAAAATGTCTTTTAAATGTGTTAATAGTACCTGCATCTTCACTCCCTCTGACATACTTGTGAGCATGGGCTCAAATCCAATTGAATTTATAAACCCGAAACCCAATACCATAGTCAACCTACCACAGAAGGTAAAATTTGATTGAGGGAAGAAATATTCCATATAACTGTCAGCTCTGGTTCTGAAGTCAAGTGTCCCTTGAAATGGCTTGGCAAGGCTCACACCTGAAATGAGGGATGGGCAACAAACATTGGCCTTGTCAGGGGTACCCATATCCCAAGAAAGGCTATGTGGGGAAGGTGGGGGTGTGAAAGAAGGAGACCGTCAAAATTTGAAAGGGTTTCGGTCCGGGACATTGACTTTTTTTGCTCCTCGCATGCAGTCTGATAGATTATGCTTTTCCAGCTCCACATTTATTGACTCAAGCGTCTAGCACGCCTATGGTCTCTAAGTTTGGAAACTACATTTCTAGGGCACCATGAAGGTCCGCGGGTATCATTTCCGGGTGTCACCGCCCTACAATCCCCCGGGGGGCGGAACAATACTCACAGGTTTCGACAGAAGTGACGCTGGGGTGTTGGTTACACTCGGGGTCACTGGCGGTGATAATGACTTGTAGCTGGCTCAACTCATCGACGTTGCCGCCACTGCCACCACCAGCAGCAGCCGGCTGATCTCTCTCGGTCGAGCTGCCGAAGATGTAGTAGAAATACCGGCGGAAAGCGTTGTCCAGGATGGAGCAACCGACTGAGGCGGAGGACTGGGGCGAGTGGACGATCTGAAAAGTCGCGGGGCTCAACCGGTAAAGCTCGGCCTCGATATTGAGTTTCTGGGGTAATGGCCAGAGGGAGCCGAACGGTGAGCTCTCTTCCTGAAGAGAGAGCGCGGAGCCGCGCCCGAGGAACAGCAACAACCCGGCGAGGAGAAACCGGAACCCCGGTTGTGGCAGCAACATTGCTAACCCCCTTAGCACCGCCATCTCCGGCCTGAGTAGACACTCCTGGCTCGGCTCCGCTTTAAGCTGCCGCGCGGACAGTCATGTGAGCGCAGCCCCTCTCACGTGACACACATTCAAAAACAACTTCAACCGTTGGGAATGTGCCACCCTTCGCTGGGTCATAGCGCCGACTCCTGGACATTCCCATTACTGCACCTTAGGGGTGCGGAAAGACTGTTGTACCAGTGTCACCTGGCGGAAAGCAATCCAAAAATAAAATTCAAAGCATTCACCTTCCCTAGAGCATTACAGGGGCAATCAAACAAACAAAACACTCTTGTGATGTGAAAACCGAAAGACCTCCTCTTCAGAGATAGTGGGAACTGCAGATGCTGGAGAATCTGAGATAACAAGGTGTAGAGCTGGATGAACACAGCAGGCCAAGCAGCATCAGAGGAGCAGGAATTTTTCTGATGAAGGGTCTAGGCCCGAAACGTCAGCTTTCCTGCTCCTCTGATGCTG